AAATTTCACTAATTGAAAAACACAAGATTATGTGCCAAACAACAGAAGTGGGCAAAATTCAGTTCATGGCTGTCCAAGAAAGAAAAATAAAATGAAAAAAAAACAATCCTCTCTCTTTACATCAACATCAAATCAAATTAGAATTTATAAGCTAAGATGATTAAACCCTAGATTAAGGAATCTAACCATCTAGTAAAAAGAGAAGAGGATAGGAAACAAAAGAACTTAGCCAATTTGAAGCTCAAGACTCATCCTCCATCTTCATCTCTCTAGGATTCCACAAAGAAACTTAGCCAATCTTCATCTTCAAGAACCCTAGTGATTGCTTGTGAAGGCCAAACTCCATAGCTCTTGAATGATGGAAATGAGCTTCAATCCTTGTGAAAATGGAAGGGATGGAACGAAAATGAAGAGAGGAGAAGAATGGTATGAGTTTTGTGGAGGTTTGGTGGCTGAAAATGGAGGTTAGGGTGCTGGAAAATGAAGAACAAAAGAGAGAAAATGAAGAACACTATGAACAAGAGAGAGAGAATGTGGAAGATGAATGAGATATGTGTTGGATCCCATTTGGGACTTAAAATGGCGTGCTCCTTGGTGTCTCCCATCAGCTGAAGCTTAATTAAAATAAGGAAAAAGAAATTAAAATGTAAATGGGAGCCTTGTCACACTTGCAAGGTGGCAACTTCCTATTGGTTTGTAGATGATTCCAATGTGTTCCGTGTGCCTAATTTCCCATGTGTCATCCACATCATTTTAGCTGATCTAATCCCTCAAAATAATCATAATTCACGTGCAAACCATCAGCCATTGTCCTCAAGGAGTGTTGACCTCAATTGCCCAATTGATGCACAAGTCACATGCCACCTATGTCACATAAATCACATAATTCAATTAAATAGCATATGATATAATAAAATCTAATTCATGTCCAGAATTAAATTCATAATTAGAAGGGAGAATTTATTAAATTAACCAAGTTTCAGGCTGCACAAATTATATAAAAATTTTCACACAAAGGCAAACCAAAAACTAGGACAAACTAAGACACTTAAGAAAGTGTTGACTTTTTTATTTAATTACTCCCAAACTAAAATGAATTTTAAAAATATAATTTCACCATTCATCAACTGGACATAAAATGCACTTTGTCAATTTTTCTTGTACATTTTCTCAAAAGTTCATTTTTTGGACCAAAATGCCCCTAGTGCACTGATCTTAGAAACTTAGGCAAAGTTCCAAATCTAATGCAATGTGTGCACTTGAAGGTGATAAATCATTAATAAAATGGTCCTAATTGACAAATAAAAGTGGGTAACAAATGTGTTCTATCAATTCCCCCACACTTAGCTTTTGCACTCCGGGCAAAATCAAGTGAAAAAGGTCCCAAAAGAAACTATAAGACAAAGAAATAAGAAAAAACATTGTTTCAAGTCACTAAAATACTAGCTCATGAACTTCTACAAATTATCAATCAATGTGGCAATAATTACGAAAGAATTATGCACATCACAAACAAACCCTTACCAAGAATCAATGTCAAAGAGTAAGCCTCTCTAGGTTAAGTGTTTGCTCTCATCACTCAAAGTGTATAAGGTATTAAATTTCACTCAAAATTTCTTAGGATAAACCCTACTATGAATTTGTAACCCTTCTACATCTCCATCACTAAATAGCACTTGCAATCAAGAATCAAATGGACTTTATTAGGTTGTGATATAGGTAATGAAAGGATGTCTAAGAAATGCATGTATATAAAAAAAAATAGGGTTAGCATCAAAATAATGCTAAATCAAGATATATCCCCTTAATATGCAAAGCATAACCTAACTCAATTGAGTGAACACCTTAACACAATGAGGATGGAAAGAAATGATAAGAAATAATAAAACAAATGGAATGGATGAGCTAGGCAACTTTTTATTTTTATTTTTATTTTTTTTCTTTCTTTTTTTTTTTTCTTCTTCTTTTTTTTCTTTTTCTAGCAACTTTATTTCTTTTCTTTTTGACTAATTTTTTTTTTTCAAATCTATCTTTGTGTTTTTTTTTGGTTGCCCCTAACTCTTTGAAAACAATGGAAGTAATGGATAGAGAAATGATAATAGGCATCCACTCATTTGATCTAGGACATGCAATGAATATTAAAAAGACATATAAAAGTGTAACATGCATTCCTTGGGGAAAAATAGGGTGAATATTTTTTTTTTAAGAATCAAACCAAAGGCTCAAAGTGGCTAACAAAGGATAATAATAATAATAGGTTGGCTATTTGGCTCTTGGCTATTTTTTATGAATGCCATCTCTCATCTCCTATCAAACAAGTGCAAGATATATGGTCTTAATTAAGAAGTGAAACAAATTCTAGAGGGTAACATCACTAAGGAATTAATCACACATGAGTGTTTAGCCTCTTCCATGAATGGGTAATATGCCACTCTAATCCATTAATTCAAGGTAAAAGAATGTTCACTTCACACCTATTCAATCCTAAAAATTACCACATCTCAAGAATCAAAATATCCATTCAAGAGCTAGGTAATTAAGTAACCTCAAACAAAACAAAACAAAGAAATTTTTTTTTTTGAATTTTTTTTTTTGCAAAACCAAACAAAACCAAACAAACAAAACAAAATGTTTATTTCTCTCCCCCACACTTAAATCATGCATTGTCCTCAATGTATGTATAGACTAGTGATAAAATAAGGTGAGATCAATAATGAATGCATAACAAAAGTGTGGTGCAGATATTTTTTTTTTCAAACTAAAACACAAAAAAAAGAAGTCAAATAAAGCAAATAAACTCTAATTTTCCTACTAGGTTCATCTCCCCCACACTTGAACTATACCTATCATTAAATATATCAATTAAAGGAAGGTAAAAGCTCAAGGTTAGAGAGATACAACCTTATCATGGTGGTTCAAAAACATGTTGAGAGAAGTCCTCCTCCTTTTGAAGTGATTTGGCATCTTTGTAGAGCTTGCATAGGTGACCATTGATTTGCATAGTGGAACCCGTGGCTTTATTCAAGAGTTGCAAAACCCCATAGGGAAACACCTTGGTCACTAGATATGGTCCCTCCCACTTAGACTTCAACTTGGCATGCTTATGAATAAACCTTGTTTGGAACAAGAGGACTTGATCTCCTTCTTGGAACTTTTTCCTCAAGATTAGCTTGTCATGAAGGATCCTTGTTTTCTCCTTATAGATTCTAGAAGACTCATAGGCATCCAACCTAAGCTCCTCAAGTTCTTGCATTTGAAGAAATCTCTCCTTAGCCGAAAGATGGAAATCCAAGTTTAGTTTCTTGATGGCCCAATAGGCCCTATGCTCTATCTCCACAGGGAGGTGGCAAGCCTTTCCATACACCAATCGAAAAGGAGACATGCCAATGGGAGTCTTATAAGCGGTCCGATAAGCCCACAAAGCATCCTCCAAGTGTAAAGACCAATCCTTCCTATTTGTGTTCACCACCTTGGTTAGGATTTTCTTGACTTCTCTATTTGATACTTCGGCTTGGCCATTAGTTTGGGGATGATATGGTGTAGAGATTTTGTGATGCACCCCATATTTAGCCAAGAGAGCCTTCATCATCTTATTGCAAAAGTGGGATCCTTGGTCACTTACCAAGGCCTTAGGAACTCCATACCTACAAAAAATATTAGATTTGAGAAACTTCAAAACAATCTTAGCATCACAAGTTCTAGTAGGAATGGCTTCAATCCACTTTGAAACATAATCAACACCAAGTAATATGTACTCAAAACTAAAGGATGGTGGAAAGGGACCCATGAAGTCAATGCCCCAAACATCAAAAATCTCACAAAATAAAATGGGTTGTTGAGGCATTTCATGTCTCTTACCCCAACTACTAACCTTTTGACATTTCAAGCATGCTTTACAAAATTCATAAGAGTCTTTAAACAAGCTAGGCCAATACAATCCACAATCTAAAACCTTCCTAGCTGTCTTATTTGAGCTAAAATGACCACCACATGCATGAGAGTGACAAAATTCAAGAACAGAAGGCACATCAACATCATCAACACACCTCCTAATCACTTTATCACTACAAATCTTCCACATCAAAGGTGGTTCCCAAATGTAAAATCTAGACTCTCTTTTCAATTTTTCAATGGCAAAACGTGAAGCACAAGGAGGCAAGACTCTACACTCAATATAGTTAGCAAAAGAGGCATACCATGGAGGCTTAGATGAAATGGCACACAATGCCTCATCAGGAAATGAATCACAAGGAATAGTAGGGTTAGAGTTTACCATAGTAGCTTTTAAATGAGGTAGTCTAGACAAATGATCCGCTACTTGATTGGTAGAACCACTCCTATCCCTTATCTCCACATCAAATTCTTGCATTAAGATCACCCATCGAATCAAGCGAGGCTTAGAATCTGTCTTCTTAAACAAGTACCTCACAGCAGCATGGTCAGTGTACACAACAACTTTAGAGTTAAGAAGATATGATCTAAATTTATCAAGTGCAAAAACAATAGCAAACAACTCTTTCTCAGTTGTGGTGTAATTAACCTGAGCTGAATCTAGGGTCCTAGATGCATAAGCAATCACATATGATAACTTGCCCTCTCTTTGACCAAGCATAGCTCCCACAGCAAAATTAGAAGCATCACATGACAACTCAAAAGGTAAAGACCAATTTGGGGCTTTAAGAATGGGAGGGGAAATGAGCATGCTTTTCAAAGTGTCAAAACTCCTTTTGCAAGCATCATCAAAAACAAAATCAACATCTTTTTGTAAGAGTTTAGACATAGGCAAAGCAATTTCACTAAACCCCTTTATAAATCTCCTATAAAAGCCTGCATGTCCCAAAAATGATCTCAAATCTTTCAAACAAACAGGATATGGCAAAGAAGCAATCACATCTACTTTGGCCTTATCCACCTCTATGCCATTGGAAGAAATCAAATGGCCTAAAACAATTCCTTTATCTACCATGAAATGGCATTTTTCAAAGTTAAGCACAAGCTTCTTTTCAATGCACCTACCAAGCACTTTATCTAAAGAATGCAAGCATGAATCAAAGGACTCACCATACACAGTAAAATCATCCATAAAGACTTCCATGCAATGTTCAATAAAATCACAAAATATGGACATCATGCATCTTTGAAAAGTACCAGGTGCATTGCAAAGACCAAAAGGCATCCTCCTATAGGCAAATGTACCAAAGGGGCATGTAAAGGTAGTCTTATCTTGGTCACTAGGAGCTATAGGAATCTGAAAATACCCACTAAACCCATCTAGGAAGCAATAATGGGACTTGGAAGCCAATCTCTCAAGCATTTGATCAATAAAAGGCAAAGGAAAATGGTCCTTCCTAGTCACATTATTGAGCTTCCTATAGTCTATGCACACTCTCCAAGCATTTTGAACTCTAGTTGGAACAAGCTCTCCTTTCTCATTTTTTACCACAGTAATCCCCCCTTTCTTAGGTACAACTTGGGTTGGAGACACCCACTCACTGTCAGCTATAGGATAGATGATCCCAGCACTAAGTAGCTTAACAACCTCTTTCTTTACCACATCTAAAATCAATGGGTTAAGTCTCCTTTGTGGTTGCCTAATGGGCTTAGCATTGTCCTCAAGAAAAATTTTATGTGTGCACACAATAGGGTCAATACCAGGAATGTCAGCCAAAGTCCAACCAATAGCATGTATGTTCTTTCTCAACACATCAAGTAATGCATTTTCTTCCTCAAGAGATAAAGAGTTAGAAATTATTACCGGAAGCTTCTCATTCTCAATGAGATATGCATACTTGAGATTGGATGGTAAAGGCTTCAACTCCAAGGTAGGTGGCTCTACACAAGAGGGAATGAGCTTCTTCAAGTCTAATTTGGTGGAATATTCCATGGTACTATCTTGTCTTTTAGGCTTCTCACTTGTTTTTGATTTCTCCTCTTCTTTCTTTACAGCCTCCCCCTTTTCTTGCAACTTGTCCTCAAGTGCTTGGACTTGAGCCACGGCCTCGACATGTGAAAGTGTAGAATTTTCCTCCAATAGCTTGGGAATCCTAAGAACATCAAGCTCGAGTGGAGAAAAACTCATAGATTCGGCCTTAATGGCTTTAGTACCTACAACACAAGAAGATATACCCTTCTCAAGCATTTCAAGATCAAGCATAGGAGATATTTTAAACAAATCATGAGAAGAAGTAGTTGCATCATTCAAGCATGCATCAATCTCTAAACAAATAGGACAACTACATCCATCAATACATGTAGTAGTAACAAGAGACAAATCATCATCAACATGTGAGAAAGAATCAAGCATGTGAGACTCACAAGCATCATGAAGCAATAACTCAATGGAACTTACACCTAACAAAGAATAATCCTCAAAAGGATGTTTCATTGCTTCATATATATTAAAAATAACATGATCCTCTCCACATTTCAAAATCAAACTACCTTTTTCCATGTCAATCAATGTACGGGCAGTCCTCATAAATGGCCTTCCTAAAATCAAAATATCATCCCCACTCCCTTCTTTTGACATATCAAGCACATAGAAATCCACAGGAAATAATAGACCTTTAACACAAACCAACAAGTCTTCTACTACTCCATGTGGTCTTCTAACACTTCTATCCGCTAATTGGCATATCATAGGTGTCTTATGCATGCAATCAAGACTCAAGGCATGATAAATTGAAAGAGGCATAACATTAATGGCTGCACCTAAGTCTATCAATGCATGAGAAAAATGTGTGTTGCCAATCTTGCATGGAATTGTGAAGGAACCGGGGTCCTCACATTTTATAGGGAGTTGAGGCTTCATGATAGCACTCACAGATGAGGGTAATTGTACCCTTGCATTAGGCCTAAATTTTCTTTTATTTGTACAACAATCTTTCAAAAATTTGGCATACTTAGGAAAGTTCTTAACTACATCCATCAAGGGTACATTAACATGAATCTTGTGGAAGAAATCATATACCTCTTGATCAAATTGTCCCTTTACTTGCTTAGGGACCACTTGTGCTTGTGGAAAAGGAAGCTTCTTCATAATCTCTTGACTTTGCTTTCCTTCTTCCTTCCTTGAACTCTCCTTTCTTGTTTCACTTTGCTCGGCCTCTCCCTCTTTTTCCTTACTAAACAACTCGGCCATAGTCCCCTTTTCCACCTTAGATGGTGGTTGCTCACATATGATCTCCTCAATGTTTTCATCCTCATCATCTCTACAAAAAGATGCATCATTAGGAGCAAAAGAAGAACTAGAAACATTAACATCAATTGAAGAATTTAAAGAGGGCTTCTCGGCCTTCCCTTGTCTTTTGTCTTCTTGTACTCTTTCTCCCAACTCCTTGCCACTCCTCAATGTGATAGCATTAAGATTAGCTTTAGGATTAGCAACGGTGTTGGATGGTAATGTAGAGGCTTGAGCATTGGCTGCACTTAATTGGTTAGCAAGCATATTCATTTGAGAAGTAAGGGCATCAATTTTAGAGTTCATGTTCTCACACTTGTTACCCATACTCTCTACCTTGTTCCCTAAGCCATCATACATGTTTTTATACAAAGAGTTCATTTCAATCAACTGCTTACGTAACACATTCACATCATTAGAAGAGTTCGAATTAGAAGAACTCTCAATTGGAACAAGCCTCCTATCACTATAAGAATTAGAAGAAGGTGTAAGAGAATTACCACTTGGATTGTAGCTTTGAGAAGAGCTACCTTGAGACAAATGAGGTGGAGGGTCACGGCCAAAGGTGTTTTGATAGGATCCTCTTTGTTGATTGTCTTGTAAAGCCACATTTGGATTTGAATAGGAGAAATTAGGATGGTCTCTCCATGAAGGGTTGTAAGTATTAGAATAAGCTCCTTGCCCTTGCCTCCCACCATAGGATTGTTTTCCATTGTAGATAGCATTTACTTGTTCAAACTTAATAGGACAATTGCTTTCTACATGCATAGGTGAGTCACAAAAAGTACAAGAATAAGGGACAAGTGCTTGAGAAGTACTTACATTGCTCACTTGAGATATTTGTGGAGCCAACATTCTCCCAATCTTGGCAGCTAGCAAGTCCACATATGAATCATTAAGAACTGAGGAACCTACCATATTCACATTTCTCTTTTCCCTTGTAGAGTATTGAGCACCACTTGAAGCCATCTTGTCAATTAGTTCCCAAGCCTTTAAGGAAGTGAGGTCAATCAAGCATCCACCACTAGCGGCATCAATGTTAACTTTGTCTCTTGGAATCAAGCCCTCATAGAAATATTGGACTAAATTCTCACTAGAAATTTGATGGTGTGGGCATTTAGCCAAAAGGCCTTGGAATCTAGTCCAATACTCATAGAGACTCTCATCCTCTCCTTGTTGGACCCCATAGATTTGCTTTCTCAAATTGGTGACCTTGGAATTTGGAAAGAATTTATCTAAGAAGAGTCTTCTTAGCTCGCCCATGTGCTCACTTTCACATAAGAAGGGTAGTTGAAATACCATTCCTTTGCTAAACCTTCAAGAGAAAATACAAAAGCCTTAGCTTGAACATCATCAACATTTACATGCATAGGCTTCATAGTATCACAAACCAATAGGAAAGTATGCAAAAACCTATGACAATCCTCTCCTGGTAACCCATGAAATTTAGGCAATGCATTAATCAAGGAGGATTTAATTTCAAATTGAACATTAGTAGGAGGAACATATAAGCCATAAGGATTATCATGCCAATTAGGTTGAGTTAATTGCCTAATGCTCCTCTCCTCTCTAGGGTTATGCAAGCCTTCAAATTCATTATTAACATGGCCATCATCATGCAAATTCTCATTCCCATTCCCATGGCCCTCATTATGCACATGCTCATGTCCTAAGATACCTTCCATTGTTGAATTACAAACCAAATGAGAATCAAGAATAGGTTGTGATCTTCTCAATCTAGAAATAGTCCTTTCAATTTCTGGATCTAATTCAACAAAAGAGGTATGTTTTCTTCGGGTCATGCACTAATCAAGCTCAAGAAAATTAAGAACAAAGAACAAGCTAAACTAAAATGCAAATCAACATGAAACAATTCAAAACACACAAAAGCAAGAGAAATAATTTTTTTTTTATTTTTTTTATTAAACTCAATAGCAACAAAATGAAAAAAAAATAACACCAAACAAGTAGAAAGAGAGTTAGAAATGCTCAATCAAGAAGCTTTGGCAATTCTGGAATTCGCACAGTAGGCTCTCTGGAGACAGTGAACTTGTGAATTTTCTATCAGCAAATCCACATGATAAATTCCCCTGAAACTTTTATGAGAAACACAAGATATATACAGGAAAATTATATAAAACTTTTAGATTAAAAATCCTGCCCAATCGTTCCCAGAATTTTTCACAAGTTGGTCCTCAAGTCTGGAGAAACAGGATTTCGTCCAGAAGACCTTCAGAGCTTCTAACAAACTTTCAAATAGGAAAATGGAAAAATTGAAGAAAATCCTAAACACAAGAAACAAAGATAAGACAGCGATAAGAAAAATGAAACTGGAATCAATCAATTTGAACGCACAAAGAGGAAGATATGCTAACTCAAAATTGAAACAGGGTTTTGGAAATCCTCTGTAATGGCTCCCTGGACCTTGTTAGATTGTAAAATTTCCACAGGACACTTCCCACGTCCAAAATTGACCAAACCAATTTTAAAGTGAAGCTAGGATATAGAGCTTTCAATGAAATAAATTTCAAGTTCAAATTCCCTCAGACTCATTCCCAGTTAATTTTTCAATTTCAGACAGAGACACTAGAAACAGAGTATTTTCAGCTCTACACCAAACCAACGAAAATTGCATTAATTTTTTTTTCTTTTTCAAAACAGAATAAAAACACTCAAAACACACAAAAAACACTAAACAAAACACAAAACACAAATTTTTATAATTTTTCAAAAAAATTTTCAGGAACACTAAAAATATAAATTAAATACTAAACAACCTTAGAATTAAACTTAAACCATTCCCCGGCAACGGCGCCAAAATTTTGATAGGAAATTAGTCGCTTATCCTCAAAATTACACTAAAGCTAACCCTAATGCAATATAGGGCCAACCCTAGGTCATCTCCCAAGGAATGGTTTTAAGTCTAATTGAAAGTTATCTAGTGAAATAAATCAACCAAAGTTTGTAGGAATTTAGTTATCTAGCTAATTATCTAAACTAATTACCTAATATGCAAGTAATTAAAATGCTAGTGAAAGTGAGTGAAATGAACTTCCCTTTTTACAATAATGGAACCCTAGAGATTAGTTGATTTTGGACTCATTATCTTCTCATGATTAGGCTAAGTTTAGCTTCCCTTTCCTCTTGACTAAAGCTGTCATGACTTAAGAAAATTATCCTAAGCCAATTAACCTAATTAGCTAACCTCCCTAGGTCTTAGATTAAAGTCCCTAGTTCAATTAACCAATTGGTGAAGACATTAGCCAAGTGATTCATTCAAAATCCTCTCTCAACAGCCATGGTCAAACACATAAATTGAGCAACCACAAGATTATGTCAAGCTACTCAACAACACAAGCATTAAC